AATGACAAAACCAATTTTTTTTTTTGAGTGGAGGACATACATTGGGTTGTTAGGTGTCTTGTGTCCAAATTTGGTGTCAATTCACCCAGTGGTTTTTGAGTTCTGATGGTAGCACGAACTAACATTACATTTTTATTTATATAGATAATATTAATATTACGTCTGGATGGCAATCTGTCGTGGGTGCTTTGATTGTGCTTTCCCTGCATGAAGGCAGAATAAAGGGAGTTGGACTAGATGGCCTTTACATGTCCTTTCCAACTCTAGGATTCTATAAAAGGAGTCTTTGTCGACCATGAGCCAAACACGAGTCAACAGTGTGATGCTGCAGCTGAAAAGGCCAATGCCATTCTAGGCTGCATCAATAGGAGAAGCCTGAGAAAAGGCAAAAGGCAACTGATATGACACTTTACCTCGGCTGGTTTTTTAATTGCTTTTAATGATAATTATTTAATGCAACTGTTTATTTTAACTTATTGTACAATGTTTAGTATTGTCTTTTGTTTAGAATTTTTTATGATTTTCTGTTTATATAGACATTGAATGTTTGCCTGTTACGATGATGGAAGCCACCCTGAGTCCCTATGGGGAGGTAAGGCAGGGTCCATCATTCTCGGGTTACGAGGGATTGCCTAAGTAAGTAAGGGTGGGGTAGAAATAAAATTATTATTATTATTATTATTATTATTATTATTATTTATTATTTATTTATTATTATGTTATTGATACCATATTGTTTTTGTTGATCCTCCTTTTATTTATTTATTTATTTGCTATACTTGTATACCGCCGTTTCTCAGCCTAGCCGGCGACTCAACGCGGTTTACAACAAAATATAACAATCAACAGTATACAGTTTAAAAGCATAAAAACATAATACACGATTCATATATCAATAACAATCCAATTCATCTCCTGACTAAAATCGTGATCCAGTTTCGTCGTCCATATTGCCAGTCCTTTAATCATTACATTCATTGCACTGAGTTAACCAAATGCCTGCTCGAACATCCAGGTTTTTAATCTTCTTTGGAATACCATCAATGAGGGGGCTGATCTTACCTCCATGGGAAGGGCGTTCCATAGCCGAGGGGCCACCACAGAAAAGGCCCTGTCTCTCGTCCCCGCCAGCCGCACCTGTGAAGCAGGCGGGATAGAGAGCAGGGCCTCCCCAGAAGATCTTAGGGTCCTGGTGGGCTGATAGGCCGAGATACGTTCGGATAGATAAGTTGGGCCAGAACCGTTTAGGGCTTTAAAGGCCAACGCCAGCACTTTGAATTGAGCCCGGTAGCAGATCGGCAGCCAGTGGAGCTGGTGCAGCAGAGGAGTAGTATGCTCCCTGCGCTCCGCTCCTGTTAGTATCATGGCTGCCGAGCGTTGGACTAGTTGGAGCTTCCGGGCCGTCTTCAAAGGCAACCCCACGTAGAGAACGTTGCAGTAGTCTAAACGGGATGTAACCAGAGCGTGGACTACCGTGGCCAAGTCAGACTTCCCAAGGTACGGGTGCAGTTGGCGCACGAGTTTTAACTGTGCGAATGCTCCCCTGGTCACCGCCGTAAGTTTTCCACTTACGGAGCTAGTTTACAGTTTTTCTTTGAAATATGGTAAATATTCTAAAAACCTTTAACCTACTGATTCCTCAATTAATGTAATTTTATTGGTGTCTTTAGTTTGAAAGTTACCAGTAGCTGCTGCATTTTGCACCCTTGGCTTATACTTGAGTCAATATGTTTTCCCAGTTTTTTTGTGGTAAAATTAGGTGCCTCGGCTTATATACTGGTCGAATATATATTTTATTTATTTATTTATTTACGACATTTATATGCCATCCTTCTCACACCGAAGGGGACTCAGAGCGGCTTAGAGGTAAAAAGTAAATACAATATATTATATTATTACCATAGCAGAATATTAATATTATATATTACATTGTACTATAACATTATACTGTAATATCATTAGTAATATTACATTTAATATAAAATATATAATTATAATATCATATTATTATTAGTAATAGTATGATATTGTATTACATTATAATATTAGCAATATTATATGTATATACAATATATTATATTATATTATTATATTGTATTATATTATATTATATTGTATTGTATTGTATTGTATTGTATTATATTATATTATATTATATTATATTATATTATATTATATTATATTATATTATATTATATTATATTATATTATATTATAAGCACAGTGCAGGAGACAAGATGGAACTGCCTTCCTGGCCCCTCTCTTCACTCTGATGTCAGAGCAGCCATTGGTGATGGAGGGGAGGGGGGGCTCCCAACTGATGACACTGGAGGCATATATTTATATATATATATATAATACATATCATATGTATCATACATAATAATATATTATATACTGCAGTGTTTCTCAACCTGGGGGTCGGGACCCCTGTGTGGGTCGCGAACGGATGTCAGAGGGATCGCCAAAGACCAGCAGAAAACACAGTATTTTCTGTTGGTCATGGGGGTTCTGTGTGGGAAGTTTGACCCAATTTTATCATTGGTGGGGTTCAGATGCTCTTTGATTGTAGGTGAACTATATATCCCAGCAACTACAACTCCCAAATGTCAAGGTTTATTTTCCCCAACTCCACCAGTGTTCATATTTGGGCATATTGTACCAAGTTTGGTCCAGATCTATCTTTGCTTCATTCCACAGTGTTCGCTGGATGTAGGTAAACTACAACTCCAAAACTCAAAGTCAATGCCCACCAAACCCTTCCAGTATTTTCTGTTGGTCATGGAAGTTCTGTGTGCCAAGTTCAATTCCATCACTGGTGGAGTTCAGAATGCTCTTTGATTGTAGGTGAACTATAAATCCCAGCAACTACAATTCCCAAATGACAAAATCAATCCCCCCCAACCCAACCTGTACTCAAATTTGGGCGTATTGGGTATTTGTGCCAAATTTGGTACAGTGAATGAAAATACATCCTACATATCAGATATTTACATGACAATTCATAACAGTAGCAAAATTACAGTTATGAAATATCAACGAAAATAATTTTATGATTGGGGGTCACCACAACATGCGGAACTGTATTAAGGGGTCACGCCATCATGAAGGTTGAGAAACACTGATATACTGGATGATACTGGAGGCAAGATGGAACTGCCTTCCTGGCCCCTC